GATGACAATGATGATGGCGATGATGATGTCGATAATTGAGATGATGTTGGCGATGATAATGGGGATGATGATGATGATAATGGGGATGATGATGATGATGATTGCGATGATGATGATGACAGTGATCATGACATGCAATGATGATGATGATGATGATTATTCAGATGATGATTTCAAATCAGATTTTGATTAAACTAGCACAGAATAAAATCTTCTAACACGTGCTACTTGCAGGAAAAGCGACGACGATAAAATCCTGGCGACAATCAGGCTCCATTTTACACCAGACGATGACTCACCTCTGGACCCTCTAGAAGTGCTAAGAAATAAATTAGAGGGCGGCAATGCTGGTGAGAGCACTAAACGAACAATTATCATGGGAATGCTGTCTGGCGAACCTGTTGAAATTGTTAACACTTCTCTCATCATAGGTAAGAGTGTTTACATGTGGTTAAATGAAATGTAGGCAAAGTTAGACTCGAGCTGTGTAGCAGCGAATAGTGTACGATAACCGCTGTTTGTTGACTGCCCGCTAGCCGCCTATCTTGGTCATCAGTAGGGCTGAGCTATTTGATCGGTAATTACCGCGATATCGATCAACGCTATTTATTGCTAATAGGTCAACTTGATCACCCGCTACCCATGTGATCACGCTAGTTTGACTTTAGATTCGCCAAGAGTCGTTTGCATTACGATATTCGCTATCACTAGCCTCTGGCAACCACACGCTAAACGCTATTTGTTTTTTCCCGCCCTCCCTCCCTATGGTAGGTATTTATAGGTAAGTATTCCACTGACCAGACCGTCAGTGTGACAGGTGCACGGTGAGTTGTGGCAGGGTTGCCATGGTTACCGCGGTTTTATGCGCCAGGCCCCTCTCATCCCACCGAACAAGCACCTAATGCCAAGCTCATCTACCAGTGATGATTTTAAATGGTTTAATGGACCAAATATCCTTGGGCGTAATGTTTTACCATTTCATTTTTATATTATTTTTTTGAAGATAATATACTTTTAGTGTTTGAGTTGTATCCCTATTAATGTGTCCTCTCATGCACAACCGTTAAACAAAGAAATAATATTCTAGGGAATGACACGTGGTCTGAAATGGTAAAACATCACACCCAAGTGGATTTAACCCCACTAATTTTACCGTAACTACCGAACGCGTTATACAAACAAGGCAAGACAAGACTTCCATGCATTCTTCTAAGTGATAAATTCTCTTACCATGACTCTTTTTGAACTAGCATGCTAAATGAGATGTTCATAGCTGTATACATTTTTTTAATAACGAAATTCTTCAAGAATTAGTTTGAATTGAGGTGCATATTCGACCAATTGTCTCCCGAAAAGCCAGAAATGCAAGTGTAACGTCTCAGTTTTTTTCATTTTGTTTTTCAGAGCATCCACAGCCTGTTTTGTGTCCTGGCTTCTGTTCTATTCAACACTGCCCTGCTCCTGTTTGCAGTCAGTCTTGTTGCAGCCAGAACAGCCTTATCCAGAGCCCATTGGGGTCATCAGGATACCCTGGAGCCCAACCACAACAGCCTTACACAGGCGCTTATCAGACAAGCGCTTATCAGACAAGCGCTTATCAGACAAGCACTTATCAGGCAAATCCTTACCAATCGAATCCTTACCAATCGAATCCTTACCAGACCAATCCTTATCAAGCTTACCCACAAAACTACCAGTCCAGTTTTCCATATACTGGTTATTCTCCTCCAGCTCCACAGGGCCGCACACAGGTTGCAACCAGACCCGATGAGAAAACCAAGCCGTCATCATCTAAAGAAGAAGATGAACCTACCAAAAAACCAGAAGAGCAAAGCAAACCACAAGCATCACGGCCCCCTCGCCCTGCTTCGCGACCAGTTGGTTATCCACAGCCTAGCAACCCTGGTTATCCTGGCTATGGACAGGGCTATTCACAACAACAGCAGCCCTCATCATCAGCTTATCAGGCTGCATATGCGTCACTCTACCCTCAATATAACCCATACCCCCAGACTAATCCATCCTCATATGCATTAGCTTATAACCAACAAACTAACCCATCACCTTACACATCAACTTACATATCATCACCTTATCCACCATCTTACCAATCACCATACACGGCATCATCTTACACAACAGGCTACCCATCATACTCACCCTACTACCCGTCTACTCAACAACAGAACGCTGTTTCCGAACAAGAAAAGCCCGGAAGCGCGAAAGGAAAAAAGGGAAGCAAGCAACGACCAAAACAAAATAACCAACGCCCACCTCCATACCCTGCGTCTCCTCCACAGGGGTACCCAAGCGCTTACTCGACTAGTTATGGGTACGCTGGGCAAACAGCCCAACAAGGCATTCCACAAACACCCATGTACATATCTGGTAATAGTGGCTACGGTACTAACCAAATTGCCGGATACCCGGGTATGTACGGCAGCAGCACATCATCGTATGGTGGTTACCCATCGACATCGTATCAGGGAGCAGGATACGCGGCTTCTATGGCCGGACAAAATCCCTACTCTGCACAGGCGTGCGCTGGTGCCTGCGCTAATTCTTGCTCGCCGCAATGTTCTCCTGCTTGCTGTAGGTCACGCGCTTTCCAAAGAAAACTACATTAACTTGTCAACAGTTCTATGTGTGGTATAACATTTGTGAAAATTTGAACGAAGTGGAAAGCTGTTTTAAGTAACACTGAGTTACTTCAGCTTTAAATTCCATTACTGATAAAAAATCGAGTTTCTAGTCTTCTCTAACAAATACCTATGCCTGCAATTGGTTGATCAACTGTTGATCCATTAGATCTGTCCCGAATTCCCTTCAGTGACCACGAAATAATACCTTCAATTCGAGGTTGAGCTTGATAAAATACAGTAAATGTATGAAAACATCAAATCCAACCTCGACTTGGACATAATTGTCACTAAATCGAATTCGGAAAAGGTCTATCTATAACTGTTAGATAAAGGAAAAAAGACTAACCAGGGATGATAAGGGATACATAAGACTTTACGAGCACAGCATGCTTCTGATAAGAACTGACAATGCTAAGAGAGACTAACTAGCAGCATCCGCCTCTACAAAACTATAGCTTATTATAAGACTTGGACAAATCGAATACTAAGTATAAACAATACCAATAGAGGCTTTGCACCATCACGTGATGGCAGCCATGACGGGAGGCAGGAACAATTGAATCTGGTCTAATCTGAGAAAGATTTCATTTTCTCAGGGGAGAACGACTCTATTGTTGTGCCTCATGTCATGGTTGCCATCACACGTTTATGCAAAGCCTTTATAAGTAATTCGTACTATATTCTATTGCAGTGGTAGATCTAGGGATGGATCTTGGGAGAACTCGTAGCTGAACCCGTTTTTTACGCTCTGTAGAATGAAATTGGTATCCTTCGTGGCGTTCATTTTGGAGCCTCGTTTTTAGAATTCTGGGTCAACCACTGTATTGTTACGTGTTGTGTACAAGGTATATAAAGCACACTATACAAAAGACTACTTGACTCAGCTGATAGAAGAAAAGTTAATAGTAGGACATAAAGCCCATTGCAGCATTCTATGTACATAACATCAATTGTATATTTTAACATCCAATGCAACTCACTACGACTCACTACGCTATTAAGGTCGTTAAATTTGCTAAGTTCCGATTTTAATCCGCTTTTGATAAGACCTTTTACTAGAATTGCTTTTGCATGGCCATAGATTTSTACTGCAATGTGTGAGAAATATTGAAAGTTTTTTTAATGGTTATCCTGTGGTTAGTGAAGAGTGCCTAATGGGACACACTTTTAAACGTATTGAATGGGGATATGATTATAATAATTATAGATTATCGCACTGAGTGCTTATACATGATATTTATTAAAATAATCCTGTACATAAATGCAGAAATGATTTGTGGAATGCCCAATAAAACAATTCAAAATGTCAAGTAGTTTTGATCAATCAAGCGTCATTTATGACAGGCGTTACGCGCCATAATATAAGACGCCATAATATAAGACAAGGAAAGAGAGGGAAACGTTTGCTTCCAAAATATGGTACATGCGTCTACCGGAAGAAACCACTCCACAAAGATCCAGCCCGGCTTCAAAGAATGCTAATGAGACTTCAACGATATCGCTTCAAGGTGACTTACAAGAAAGGAACATCCCTCTACCTAGTCGACACCCTGTCAAGAGCACCACTTCCCCAACCAGTCGAGGCACCAGTAACAGGATTCGAAGTTGAATATCATGAAAGCAACCCAAGACTCCTCGACCATACCAAGGAACGATTACGGGAAGAAACAAGTAAAGACCTGACCTTGACCAAGCTGCAGACAAAAATAAATCAAGGTTGGCCGGATGACAAGTCACGAGTTGACACAGTACTAAACCAATTTTGGAACTATCGAGACGAGCTCACCTATAAATTTAGAAGAATGTGAATCAAGGTATATATGTAATTATAAATTGGATGAGGGAATATCAACAATAATATCTAGCAAATTGATAAATAAATAGAYATATATACATTTATATAATAGATTTTCACGAACGCGCGCTCTGATTGGCTGAAAAATTATGTTTTATAGAAATGACGTCACAGGAATTCGGCTTTTCAATTTAAAGCATTTTGACATTTTGAATTTAAAACATTTTTCATTCTTATTTTTAAAAATGTCTTTCCTTTAATAAAACGAAAATATGTCGTTTTGAAGCACATTTGATTGGTACTACATTTTGATGAGTAAAGCCGTTTCTTTCGTTTGTGCTGCGACTATTACAATGACCTTGTTTCGCTAAACTAGAAGCTTTTTGCTTGACCCGTAATGGTGTTAGAGAAGCCAAAAAATAATTTTAATCGTTTTTCATAGTCTAACAAGAATGAACAAATGTATTGTAAGAAGCTTAAGCTTACTTTACAAACTACCATCKTCAATTTTACGCTCAGTTACGGTAATTTTGTTTTACCGTAATTTGTTTTCCACTAGCCCGAAACTACGAGTACAAAATACTATTACAAGTTTGTTTTCCACTAGCCCGAAACTACGAGTACAAAATACTATTACAAGTGGTACAAAGTTTTCACTTATAGTTCAGGGTTAACTAAACTGAACCAGTTTTCCAAGTACTGCACTGCTAGCTTTCTTCAAGTTTCGAAGATCAGGATATGTCTCTTGGCTCCTTGACCATTATTTTATACCCAATCAAGTCTACATCTCTTCTATCAATTTATCATAAACATATAGTTTTCATATCTTTTTCCTATTCTGTATGCGTTAGCTGTTTTTGGACCTGTTTGATTCAACTGAAAATTTGAATACTTTGACATAGACATATACATAGATTTTTATYTTAGTACCTCAATGTTTACATTTATCAAATATATAAAGAGAAATTGTCCAGAATGTAAGGTACAAGCAGTGGTGGATCTAGGGGTGGGTTTTGGGGGTTGCAACCCCCCCTATGAGAGCCATCGTGATTTATTATTATTTTTATTTTTCATGACAACACCAACAGCATCGCGAGTTTTATTTAAACAGGGGTGGCGAACACATTTCGCTAGCCYTTTTTCTATACGCCGTGTGTGGAACCTGAAACAACCATGCTCGCCTGCAGCAAATAATCATTTTCATAAGACCTACTTCCGTTTGGGAACCCTGTGCTACTTTCCCGCCAAACAAGTATCTCAATCAATGCTACAACCCCCACTTTGAAAAAATTCTGGATCCGCCCCTGTACAAGCTATCTAAAATAACTAAAAAATTAAATATTACAGACAGTACGGCTGAGGTATAAATGAAATTGATATAAATATAGTAAGAGGAAAAAATAGAAAAAATAAAAAAATAAAAAAAAGGAATGGATCAAGCTAAACAAATTGAATTGCACACGTACTACATGCTAATATTAAGTGTATATATTACAAAAAACCATCTTCCTTTGGTATACATATAGATACAATATATCATAGTTCCTCTATATATATACATGTATATCACTTATTGATTTTCTAAGTAG